AGCATCCCGTTACGCGTTGCGTCCAAAAAATCAAATTATTTTTATGCAATTCAAGCCTTGCATCTCTATGGTACTGAATCTACAGGCGCTATAGTCTATAGAGTGATTTTTTTTTGTATTCGATGTCACTGGTCCGTTCGCCATTACGCTTTATGAAATACGACGTACATCGTGCGCGTCAAACGTCAATGTGTATCATGCGGATAGACCGCCTCTGGATTTTTCATTGGCAGTGACTATGCGAAGGAGATTGTTTCGGTATAACGTAACTATGGATTACGGTACTATAGATAACTTGTATATATAGGGGTTATTGTACGTTTTCTTTTGTACGGTGAGTAATAAGGTGTAGTGGCTGACGGGGGTATCCTAAAAATTGGACTCGATAAATAAGATAATTTTTGATTATGCGAATTAATCTGGATTTTTCATTGGCAGTGACTATGCGAAGGAGATTGTTTCGGTATAACGTAACTATGGATTACGGTACTATAGATAACTTGTATATATAGGGGGTATTGTACGTTTTTTTTTGTACGGTAAGTAACAAGGTGTAGGGGCTGACGAGGGTATCCTAAAAATTGGACTCGATAAATAAGATAATTTTTGATTATGCGAATTAATGTTTTCTTCGGTAAAACGTCACTATGGATTACTCTACTATAGATAACTTGTATATACAATAGGGGTTATTGTACGTTTTTTTTTGTACGGTAAGTAATAAGGTGTAGTGGCTGACGGGGGTATCCTAAAAATTGGACTCGATAAATAACATAATTTTTGATTATGCGAATTAATTTTTTCTTCGGTACAACGTCACTATGGATTACTCTACTATAGATAACTTGTATATATAGGGGTTATTGTACGTTTTTTTTTGTACGGTAAGTAACAAAGTGTAGTGGCTGACGGGGGTATTATTTAAATTGGAGAATTGGGTAAGCTCAGTGAATAGGATAATTTACATGAATTCTTTTACGTACTCGTTATCCAACATAATTTTATATACTGTTTTATTCCAATTGCCATGTTTACGTGCGAAGGTACGCTTATTTACATATGCGTCGCGACGTCTTTACGTAGTTTAAATTATTCGGTCGGCAAACACATCGCAAATTGGAGCACGTACTTCTGCCTGTTTTTCCTTCGCGAGGAAAGAAAATACGAATTGCTGAAAATGAAGATAATTCTTAAAATTTTTCAAGCGGCAAGGTCGAATGTCATCTGACGTATGCGAACTTGTTTTCTTTTCCAGTTTCTCGCACGGTGACCGTAACATTACCGGGAGTGGTAGGAACTTCCGGGGACCGTCGAGTCGTCGCTTCCGGTTACCGCCGGAAGTGTTGACGTACCGGAGACATTTTGAAAACGTGTCTGGAATTCAAATGAGAACGAAGTAAGAATAAGAAAAAGACGTCAAAGAAAGCAGATCATTCCGATACCTGGTTTTCATCGTCAACAAGAGAGAAGAATTTTTTTTGTTGGATGCAATTTTTTTAGGAAAAACGAATAGAGAAAATTTTTTTATTTTCCACGTGAAAGATAAGAAGCTCTTATCGGTTTAAATCCTCGTCACACATAACCGTTATTTATCTCACAGAAGAAAAAGCTTTGATTATTAAATCAACAGAAATTTCCAACCTAATAAAAACTCGTATATGACAATTATTGGACCACCCATTCCTCGTGAACGTATAGTCGCCATTATGCTCCATAAAATACGTATAAACTCACATAAGGTACACAAAGCTTTCCGGCGATTACAGCTTACACCAGAAGGGAGTTGTAACAAAGATACACGAAGCACAAGGCGGAGATGAAAGAAAAAGCTCAAGGCTACGTTCTATAATTCCTGAAGGAACTTTTCTCGTTGACATCTTAAATAGCATAAGCTCTATTGGATCCTGCATTCCCCCACGGGAGGAGCTCGAGTGCAAGTCTTTCGTCGTGCAATGCTTTTCTTTGCCCTTCGTCTTTTTCAACTTTGTATTGTGCACATTGCATCACATTGTGATAGGAGTGTCTGACCGACATTCTTCCCTACCATAAAAAGCAACAGTACAGTTGGTACAGCCGGTAAAAAGATTTTACTATAAAAATGGAAAAAAAAAATATGGGACATAACATATCCCGAGTACTAATTTTATAACTCTTTTTTTTTGCAATTTAAAAAAAAATTATCGTCAATATCTCGGCCTATCGGTGAAATGCAAAAATTCGCCTCGGGACTATTCAAGTTTTTCCGTGGGCAAAAAAGTGGTGCGTGAGTAAAAAAAGTGGAAAAAAAGAAAAGAATCTTTACGAAGGGTCAAAGGGAAATGGGAGGCAGCGTACGTGGACAAAAGCAGAGAAAGTTACGATGCGGCAGTCGCAGCGCTGGTTTCCTCGCCTAAGTTATGGTGCCAATTTGTTGCTTTGCCCATGCACGAAGTCCGACTGCAATACACGGACCTAATTGATGCCAGAGCGAGGAACGTTTTTAGCGCGAGCTCGCTATGGGAGTGGATAAAGAGGGTGAAAAAAAAAAGAAAAAAGATAATAAAGCTACGACACATACGTGCGCGTTGCGACAAACGCGGAAAGTGGACACGGGAGAAAAAAGCAGACTAGGACGCCTATAAACCTCTAATTGTCAGTTTTTCATACTTATTTTCCCATATAGCACGTATCGCTATTTGCAGAACTGCGCGCGCGATAACCCCAATGGCATCCAATAGAATCCAGCATAAAGCTTTTGAATCCGGAAAGAGACGGGGTAAACAGATTATCGATATATTGTTCCAATTTTCTCTTGTTCTCTCCACTTTCTTTTTGCTTTCAACTAATTCCAAGTTTTTTTCACTTACGGGATATCGTTTCGAATTTGCATGATTTTTTTTCCCGAGAATTCACGAGACAACGAGGAAAGGAGCCCCCCCCCCCCCCC